TGCAGCTGGAAGCTGGCGTGTTTGTGAAGTCTAACACTTGAAAGGAAATTGAAAGGAGTCGCCCAGAAGCAGGCCAGGATCCAGGGCTCCTGAGGAACCACTTGTCACTGGACTCAGATCAATGGTGCCTTGGCCTCCCTCACTGGGCAGTTCCTCCTTTGCCAGAAGAAAAACTGTGTCACCCCCATTCCGGAACTCAGGGCTCTCTTGGGAGACGGGCTGAATCCATCTTATTGTTCTAGAAACAACATCCAGGCAAGGGGCCGGCGGGGGGGGGGGGGGGCGGGGGGAGCCTGGCACAGATTCTTGGGGCCAATTGAGCAAGGTGACATGGAGGCTTAGGAGAGAAGACGTTGGCTCTGAAGGGCAGATCAATTCTGGGAACCAACGCCTACAGGGTGCTGGCTCTCCCTCCCGTCTCCTGTCTTACAAGGACAGATGGAAGTGTGTGGCCCACGAGGAGCTAGCCATCTTTGGGGGGAGGGATAACAAACAGACATGTGGAACAGTCTAGACAGGGGACACTAAGGAGCACAAAGATGGTAAGAGCCACAGGGGTGTTCACAGAGGCCGGCCGGGAGGGGCTGAAAAAAAAAAATCCAGAAAAGCAGAGTGTGTGTGTAAAGGGATCTGCACGGTTGGAGCATCAGGAGAGCATTGAGAAGGCCGTCTTCCAGGGGGTGACTTGGGGAGCACTAATCCCTATTCATTCATCCCCATTCACTACCTTCAAGGCGTGTGCCCCTCCCGACTCCCACCCCCCGATTTTAGAAAATCTGTGGCATCCACACAGCCTGGGAGCTTGTTGTAACTCGGACTCCGGGACACTACTCTAGAGCTACAGCCGTAATTTCACTTGAGCCCCTAAGTAACCGTGAGCACATTGCGGATGAGAGGTGGTCTCAGAGTGCTGGCCAAGAAGATGCATTGAAGAGCTAGCCTGGTGCAAGGACAGGATGCCTGGCAATCCCCTGAGAGAGAACTCACTGTTCTTCTACATTGAAAAAAACAAAAAAACAAACACCACCTCTGTCGACCAGATGTGGTGGTGCTTGCCTATAATCCCAGCCTTGGTGGGGCTGAGGCTAGAGGAATGCCAGTTATGGGATAGCCTGGGCTACATGGGAAAGGAAAGGAAAGGAGGAAGAAGGGAAGTGAGTTGAACGGAGGGAGGGTGGGAGAAAGGAGTTGGAGAGGAGGAGAGAGAACTTGGTCCCGGTCCTCTGGCTGCCATGAGAATGTACTGAGAAACTTTGTAAGGCACGGTCCACCCTGCACACCGCAGGGCTCGGGTCAGGAGCAGGGCCAGATGACCTTCTCCGGTGGGTGTCCCGGCTCTGGTCTTTGTTCCCGTCCAGTGGTTGGGACCTAAGGACCCCACGCTGAGGAATTCAGCTCATTACTGGGGCCTGGTGTAATTACTGCCAGCTAATGTTCAGCCCGTTAGGCATTCCTGGCCTCCCTGATTGCCCCGCTCCTGCCCTTCCAACTGTGGGAGGGCTGTGCGCCTCAGAACACAAGAATTAACAGTTAGCATTTCTCCAACTGCGACTTGCCTAGGGGTGCCCCCGCGGGGGGCTCGGCCCCGCCATGCCTTCTCACCTCAGCCTCTGCTCTCGGAAATAACCGCACGCACACGCACTGTTAGGGCCTCTACCCACGTGGCACCTGCTTGTCTCCCTGCGATCCAGGATGTTCCTATAACTTCCGTCCTACAGCGTGAAATCGAGAGCCCCGGGTTCTAGTTCTAACTGTGTTTCAGGTGAGCAGGCCCATTACTGGCCTCCCTCTTTCTGTTGTGATTTGATTGAAATGTCCCCCATAGATTCGCGGTTCTATTGGCAGGATTTGGGGAGGCTGCCTGCCCCTTTTAGGAAGTGAACCCTAGGAGGTCACACGGAGTAAACCCCTGAGAGATACAGCCCGGGCGCCTACTTCTGGCCAGTCTTGGTTTCTTGATCAGCTAGTATGTGAACAGTTTGGCCACACACTCCGGCTACAACGCTTTCCCTGCCAAATCCTTAGCCGAAATAAGTCTCTCTTCCCTCGGGTGGTTCCCATCAGGTGTTTGAGTCACAGCTACATAAAGGTAGCTAATCCTTATACGTAGAACAAGGGATTGCATGTGACGGTTGATTTTCAACATCCTTTCCACAGTGACACTGATTTTATTAGAGAACGGTTTTCGGGACTACAGAAATGAGAGACGGCAAAATTCACTAAAGCGTCTTCTCTTTTTCATGATTTCTTTTCATTTTATAAGGAGTGGTGTTTTGCCTGCCTGTGTGTCTATTGGATCCCCTAGAGCTGGAGTTATAACAACTGTGAGCAGCTATGTGGGTGCTGGGGATTGAACCCAGGTCCTCCGGGTGCTCTTAACTGCTGAGCCATCTCTTCAGCCCCCCACTAAAGCACTTTTAAAGACTTTTAGCACCTGGACCTAAGGAGACACTGTTGCTCACTGGAGTCCCCGCCAGCACGTGGTTGGAAGTATCCTGTTGTTTGCATGGTGCTATTTTCCTCCCCAGAAGGGAAGGGACATGAAAGGGAAGATGGACGTTTCCATGTCTTTCTGTCCTAACACCACCAGGAGCCACCCTCCAGCCATTTATTCCTTTAAATGGAGTTGTTAGAGGCTTAACAGAAAAGTGGTTACAATGTAAAACCACTCTCCTGTGTGTGTGTGTGTGTGTGTGTGTGTGTGTGTGTGTGTGTGTGTGTGTGTGTCATCTGTGGAAGAAGACAAAATTAGTTTAGCCCTCAACATTGGCTGGAGTTGAGCCAGGCTGGTGTGTGTGCACACTGGCAGTTACACTACTTGGAGCTGGTGCTGGAGAAATACAAGCTCAAAGCCCGCAGGAGTACAGAGTGAGATCCTGTCTTTAAAAGGGGCCGTGTGATATGGTGTTTGCCTGCCGTAAACTGGCAAGCTAAGTTTGATTCCCACTTAGAAAGGGGGAAGGAGAGGACCACCTCCACAAAGCTGGCCTCTGAACTACACAACACGCACACACATACACTAGTAATACGCTAAAATAAATGTTTTTAAAATTGCCTTTCAAACCCATAGACTGGCAATACTCACCCTTGGCCAGAGAGGGCGTCTTTCCGAAGTTGCTGAGAATAACGGCATTGAGCGCTCAGCTCTAAAGAGGACATGTATATCAACCCCGGAAAGGCTCAGGGAACATCGATCGTAGCAGAATGGAAGTGTGCCATGGAATGCTGTCTTCTAGACATCGCGTGGCCGATGCTGTCATGGACCCACTGCACTATAGTTACCGGCCCGAGGTCAAGCCAGCGAGATCAGTGAACATATCCCTGTACACAGAACCAACTGGACCCAAGAGAGTTACAACATGAAAAGGAGGACACCTGAAATTGGGTGAGGGGTGTGTTGGGAGGTTCCTGAAGGGGAGCTGGGAGGGAAGAGTTGGGGGGGGCGCGAATATGATCAAAATGCATTTTGTGCGTGCATGAGATTGTGAAATAATAAATAAAAGATATTAAAAGTATTTTGGCAAGCAGAAACCATTTTAAAGCTTTATTTAGACATCCAAATGGAATTTCTAATACTGCCTTGCAAATTAACACCACACTAACATGCCCACGGTTTAATTCCACTCCCCAGGTTCTCATTGAGTGTGCTAGGTGCCAAGCTCTGGCTCAGCAGTGAGGGGAACACAGAGGCGACGATGTCACGTGACAGTTCGTTTGCAACAAGGTCTCGCTCTGAAGTTCAGCCTGGCCTCCAATACACTGCATAGCTGAGGTTGGCCTTGAACTCTCTCCACCCTCCTCCTCCCCCCACCTCCCAAAGGCTGCCATTACAGGTGTGCACAGCAGGACTTAGATCGCGAAATAAATACGGCCCGTTCCAAACGGCCACTTTGAAGGCTGGGTGTTTATTGCACTGTGTCGCCTTGCTCAGATCCGTCTTTAAAAGCTTGTGGATTTCTGTGTTGTTGACAGTGACAAATCTTTGTGTGCTGATGTAGGTTGGGGGTGGGGGTTAGTCAGTTTTCAATCACTGTGATAAAATACCTGACATAAATTAGCTTATGAAGAAGAAGGATTTGGTTCCTAGTTTCAGAAGCGCTAGTCCACGGTCACTGGGCCCTGTCGCTCGGGCCTGTGGCGCATAGTATATCATGGCAGGAATGTATGACAGAGACAGCCTGGTTACTCTGTGGCAGCTGTGAAACAGAGAGAAGGGGGTTAGTTCCTCAGCATCCCCTCAAAGGGCACACCCTCAGTGACCTAAGTTCTTCCCACTAGGTCCCACACCTCAGCGTTTCAGCCACCTCCCAGTAGCCCCACAGGCTGAAGACCAAGGCCTTGAGACGTGGGCTTTGAGGGAGCGTGTCAGGTCCAAACGATAGCAAATGGGAATATCTGTTGAAACCAACCCCGGATGTTGAGATTTTCCTAGTCAGGCCCAATATCTAAACAAAGGGTCAGAGAGATGGCTCAGTGGTTGAGAGAACCCTGTCAAGCAGCTCACAGCTGCCTGTAACTCCAGGTCCAGGGGACCCAACACCCTCTTCTGAGCCCCACTGGGTACCTGAATATACAAGGGACAGATACACTCACAGAGATGTACACACACACACACACACACACACACACACACACACAAGATAAACCTTTTTTAAAAAATCTAAGTGACATGTACCTTATAATGGAGCCCTGATGAACATGTAGCTCATACCTGTAACCTCAATACTGAGGAGGCTGAGGCAGGAGCATTCCCAAGAGTGCTAGGCCCGCCTGTGCTACACAAGGAGCTCTAGGGAAGCATGAGCCAAAAAGTAAAAACCGCACCTCGAAGAAAGAGAATACGAGTGCTCCAAAAGTCAGATTTCATTGAGTTGCCTAAGTTCTGCATATTTGAAAAAAAAAAAAAAAAGATAGGGACTGGGGTGCAACTCAGCGGTAGAGCACTTGCCTAGCATGTGTGAGTCCCTGGCAACAGTTTCTAGCATGAACATGCATGCATGCACACACACACACACACACACACACACACACACACACACACACACACACGCATGCACACAATCAGCCTCTGTCTTGGTCTTATTATTCTATACCTCCAAACCCCTTTTCGTCTATCCTCAATTTAATAGCCGAAGAGAGCTTTGAATACCACAAGTTAGATCATGCCACTCACTGGTTAGAAACCTCCGAGTAAAGGCCAAGGTCCCCATAGTGGCTTCTGAGGCCACGCATGATTCAACACCCTGTCCCTTCTCTAATTTCTCCCACCATGGTCTCCTCCGTGGGCTTGGCTGCCGGCCACATGGTCTCCTTGCTGTTCCTCAAACATGCTAGGCACGCTCAGGCTCGGGGCCTTCTCTTCTCTTCTGAGATCCACTTGACAACTGCTTTATGTCCTTCAAGTCTTTCTCCTCAGTGAGACTTAGGCTGACCTCCTATTTACTGCCTTGAGGAACGATTGCTTCTACTTCATACATTCCATAATTACTGTGCCACCACGCACGCACGCATGCACGCATGCACGCCCTCACCTATATGCTCACATTATCCTATACAATTTGTCTCTGTGTTAGCCATCTTGTTACTGTTGCCCATGTCTCCCCCCCCCCATAAGAATCCATGCTCAGCTCGGGGAGGCCTGCAGAGGAGGGGGAGGAAGGATCAGAAGGATCGGGGGAACCAGAGGGGTCAGAACATGGCCCATGGAATCAATTGACCGGGACTCATGGGGACCTGAAGAGATCAGGGAGCCTGTAGGGTCTGACGCAGGTCCTCTGCATGTATGTTATGACTGCATTGCTTGGTGTGCTTGTAGGATTCCTAACAGAGAGAGCACGGACTGTCACTGATTCTTTTGCCTATTTATGAGGCCCTTTCCCTCCCACTGAGCTGCCTCGTCCAGCCTTGACGTGAGGGTGTGCAACTGGTCTTATCGTAGCATAGTATGCTGCGTTTGGTGGATGTCCCTGGGAGGCCCACCCTTTTCTGAGGGAAGATGGAGAAGGCTTGGATCTGGGGGGAGAAAGGAGATGAGGGATAACGAACGTGGAGAGAAGAGAAACCGCAGTTGGGATGTAATATATGACAGAAATTTTTTTTTAAAAAAAAGACTTTATGCTCGGAAGGGCCAATATCTTTGTCCATTTAGTAGACTCACAAAAGCCTGGAACTGGCACATAATGGGCACTTAATAAGTATATGCCAAAGTGGACTGGATTGGATTACATCAGATTGATTTGCATCGTATTGAATTGTGTAACACAGTGGATGGCCCCTGCTTTTCCCTTTTTACACAGTTGATTAAGAGACCTAGAGACACCCATTAGTTTCAAGCCCTGAAGGGGCTCCTGGACAGCCTACAGCACTTGCCTAGGGAGATTCACGGTGCCTCTGTGGGTACCTAGGAAGAATCAGTTCAGGATGAAGGAGGACAGAGGACTCAAGCTATCCTCTACCTCATCAGTCGTACTCCGGTTCCCAGCCCATGCCCGAACATTCCAGCTCCTGCTCACTCGCCATTGCCGTTCCGTGGGCTGTGGCACCCTTGCCTCCTTTTGCCCCCCTTACCCTGACCCTTCTCACCCACCAGTGCTCAGCCCCAACTGCCTCCCTCCGGGTGATATTCCTGGTCCACTCATTATTTCTTTCCTCTCCCAGCTCTATAACAACTACACAGTTTCAAACCAAGCCTTAAAATAAAAAAATAAAAAATAAAAAAACATGGAAAAAAAAGGAATATATGGGTGCTAGAAGACGACTCAGAAATTAAGAGCACATACTACTCTTTCAGAGGACCTGAGTTCTAATCCCAGCATGCACATGGGGTGACTCACTACTACCTGTCACTCTTGCTCCAAAAGGATTTGACACCTGCAGCCATTGATCCTCATGGACGCCATCCCACACCCAGGCCCACATACATACACATTAAATAATAAAATGAATCTCTTTAAGGTGTGTCTGTGCATTATTTACCCAGCTGGGAACTATACTTTTTGCTGCTTTTCTGTAAATAGACCCAAGCATGCTGCGGGCAGTGGCTTTAATGAGTTACCAGGCAAAGAAAAAGAGGAGCTATCCCAGGTGAGGTGATCCCTAGCATGAGAGGACAGAGGGAAGCAGGGAAGGGAAGAGAGAGAGAATTAAAGCATGTATGTATGCATGTATGTATGTATGTATCAGGGAATGGAAACAAGACCCGGACATCAGTATATTTCCCAACTTCCTCAAAGTGGCTTTGATGCGTCGCTGGGCTTAAGAACAACCAAAGGATTACAGGAAACATGAAAACGTAAGGGGCAAGAGAAATAAGAGCGGGCAAGGAATTGGGAAATGGGCCTGAAGTACTAGAGTCTGCCTCACCTTCCTCTCCATTTTATTCTTGGCAGAGGAAGCTCTGCGGGGCAGCACTGGACAGAAGCCACCGTCCTCTTGCTCATGGTCTGAGGAGTAGCAAGAAGTCTGTTCAGAACAGAGCAGACCAACTAATGCAGCCAAGGCCCCGGGCAGTGAGGAACTCCAGGCCACGGGAAGGTGTGGGCAAGTGGAGGGTTATTTCCAGCCGCTGGAAACTGTGTCGCAATCGCGGCGGCGTTACCTATCAGCTTACGCTCCAGGACCTGCCAGCAGAGCCCGTAGCTCCATGGGGCCACTGTTTCAGAACAGCTTGGCCAACCCTCGCACCCCTCTCCCCTCTACCTGCTGTGAAACTGAGCAGAAATCCAATGTCCTCCTTCCGAGTGGCAACTTGGTCCAAGTGCCCGGAAGCTCCCGCCAGCAACCTTAAGAACCCGGCAGTCTCCTAGACGACCCGCAAGGAGTCTCGGCACACCGCTTTCCTTCTCTGGTCCCTTTCTCTGTTTGTGTAACCCAGAGGGGACAGAGCATGTAGCCAAACTGCTTTCCTTGTGAGACTTCAGGGGCTCCTACACACCTCCATCTCCCCCGCTACATACACACACACACACACACACACTTTACCTCTCACACACCAGACATCACTTTTCACCATATGCCCCTACCCGGAATGAAGCTGGGAACAACAGGGGTCTCTGGGGATGGAAAAGATGGAGATGAAGGAGTTCTGAGAACAGATTCTGCTTAGTTGGGGGTGGTGGGGCCGGGAAAGGAACATCAAAGAAAGTATGCTGGCATTCGGGTGGCTGAAGACCAGGAGGAGGTGTGCCAGAGGACCAGGGGGGTATGGAAAGGTGGCCTAGGGAACTGATGACAATCCTCCAGATCTCATGGTTGCCAAGGGCACAAGGCAGGCTCTGGAGGCCACCCCCTTTTCAACTTCCTCATTCCCCTCTGATCCTTGTGTGCAGAGTCACTGTCCGGCTTCCAGGCGCTGACCATCCTGTGGCCTCTCTACGCGGAAAGGGACCCTGGAAAAAGCCACGGGAGAAGAGACCAGGGCGTAACAGGGAACACACATCTACCCGGAGGTAACTCTAAACTCCAGTGGGCCAGAGGAGGGGGGGGGGGGTAAGGGAGAGGGGGTGAAGTTTTTCCACTTCCATTCGCAACTGTCAGGCGGGTGATTAATGACCAACAGGTTTGGAATCGCCTTTATTGCCAGATCAGTATTGTTGCCCGTGACAGCTAATGAGGTTGGACAGGCTTCTCCACACTGAGCTTTATGGAGCCCGTTCCGTCCCCTGCAGAGCTCACGAGCCTTGCCAGCTTTTGTGCGCTGGAATGTTCAAGCCCTACGCCCCCCCCCCCACACACACACACACTTCATTCCTCCACCACCACCTCCCCCAACTCCCCAACCACCATCTCACCCAGAACCTCACCCATCTACCAAGGAAGCTGGGTGGTGGAGCGCGGGCTTGGCCTGCTGGAGATACCCATCTGTGACGCCCCAATCCCCAAGGCCTCTCCCCAC